ATTTGCCCTAAAAAATAATAATATAACATAGAGGTATCACTAACATCACTAGCATCATGTTTCATCTCACCATTAGCCCTGAAAATAATAATATAACATATAGATATCACAAATATCACAAATAGTAAAGTCATTTTTCATCTCATCATTAGCTCTGAAAAATAACATCACCATTAGCCTTAAAAAAACCAAATGAAACTATTCCAAATGTAACTAAGGTACATTTTCATTTTCCTGGAGATTTTCCCCACACACCATCAATAATAGGTAAAGGTAGGAGATTTATCAACTTATGACTTACTTCTCCATGGCAATCATTTGTTGTTTTTGGTGTTGATAGTGATACATCTGAGCACTCTGGGCCAATTTACGATCACCAGGGGAGGGAACTCTTTCTTTGTTTGGCCCTGTTACACCATATGCTGGATAATCTACATCACTTGTAGCTTTAGCATTACGATTTAACCTGAAATGAAATAAACAGAAAACCACTATTGAGTTTTCTCACCACAAGTTTTTTTCAAACTTTTGAAATGTTATAATCTGCAGTCTAGATTAATATTTTACTCTCAGGAAGTAAATTGTCATTTTCCAGGAAAATATTCTTGATGCCTCCAATATATAAATATATATATTTTTTTCCTTAAGTGGCTTTTAGTAAATGACTTTAATAACACAACACACTTTATGGATAACAATTAATGCAATGCAGGCTTTTGACAATGGTTCTCTTGTATTTTGGATATATATACTTATTTACAGTGAAAAAGAAGCCTAAGAAGGACCTATCTAGACAACATGGTACAATAACATATAATTTTGAAAGAAAATTGTCAACAATATGATCTAACCTGAAAGAGATAAAAAAAAAAAGGTCAGCTTATTATTATTAAACTAATTAGTAATGAGCTGAATATTAAAACTTATTCACTACATCAAAAAAGCATAAGACATTGACCTGTAAAATATATCACAGGACCTACCAATTGTTGATATAATTATTAATATCATTAGAGTTCTTTAAGGTCCTCATGCTTCACTGAATTACTAAAATACCAACTATATCCTTTGTTAATATCTAACACAACCCTTCATCTAACCTTGGTGTAACGCACACTTAGATTTGACCACAAACTGACCCCTCCTTTCAAAATATATCCTAATATTGACCACTAGTTCCCCCTGTCTATCTGTCATTTAAAAGTGTCAATAAAAGAGGATTGATTAAAGTAGGAAGATGTATATTGTATTATATAATATGTTGACATTATTTACACAGCAGTTTATTGTAGAGTCAGTTGATAAATGTCTGATTTAAGGAGATATCAAGATAGTTAATAAGGATTAAAGATACAGAATATCTGGGCAACCAACAATTTTAATCACTTACTACAATTTTATAGATAAATATAATGAGAATTCTTAAATCAAAAAGATACCAGTAAATTTTTAACCAGTTGAAAACTGTTCAAGACTCACCAATTACTTATTTCTGTGAAATTCTTGGTTAATTGTCCCTTAGTTCTTTTGAAAGTATTCTTTGAGAATTCCACAGCACTATTCATATTGATAGAAATTACTGAAGAAATGTGAAAAAATCTTTCCAAGGACAATGTAAGGTAATGCTATATATGCGTGTCTTGGAAATTATGTATGCATGTAATAGGGGATCAAAAATCACATTACAGACATGTGTCAATTGGAAGTGACATCAAGTGTTATCAACATTATTGACAAAAATCTTCTACACAAATCATTATTATTAGCATTTAGATGGAATACTGGCCTTCTTTTGTATCAGATACACATAATTCTGATTGATACCAACTGTCAAAATCTCATAGGTCAGAGGTTAAGGGTGAATGATTGATTATTATGATAATTGGCAGTAGGTAATTAAATATAGGTTCATTAACATGAGTTATGAACAGCTGGTGGTGAACACTGTATAAATATTTATCTGTATAAGTTATCTTTTTTGATGAAAAATGATTGAACCTATGTATCAACAAAAATATACTAGCTGGTCAAAATCCTCATACCAGCATAAGATTGTTACCACTTTTCATGACATTTCATGAAATTTAAAATAACTACTCCCCTTCTTATAAATGAAATATATTTTGTTACATTATGATAGTTTCCATCAAGATATCATTTCAAATCAATTACTACAATGGTGAAATATACATTATTATATCCTTGGTTATAACATGCTCTTTTATTGATCTAAAAAGTAAAAGACTGTAATTCCAATTGAAAAATATGTGTTGTTTTTGAAATGCAAAGAAAAGAAAGATAAAGGACCAACTACATTTTACAAGGATAGTTACTTAGGTTCACAGTTAAGGAACCAGCCGGTTCTACCAGCCGGTCCTTGGCGATACCTCTTGGCATTGATCTTTCCCGGATTATCTGTACCCATTTACAGCTGGGTCGACTGGAATAATGAGTGAAGATGACTTATTCAAGGTCATCGACTTTCACACGCCGATCGAGATCAGAACACACAACCACCATTTGCTGGACGTTACCAAGCAAATGACATCATGTAAAGAACCAACGCTCTAACTAGTTCATAAAAAACTGGAGAAGTACCTGTTACCCATTGTATATATATCTATCGATGATATTTCACAGACTTTATTTCTCCATTAGTCCAATTAGTTCTTATCTTTTAACGATTATTAGTTCAACATATATAACATTATCTTCCTATTTTCATGACTGCTGATAATTTTATACAATAAATAATATGACAACCATCACTAAGATAGGAAATGTTGTAAAGGAAACAATGACTAGATATTTGAATGAAATGGTATCATTCTGACAAATTTCTCTATGAAACATAAATAATTAGAATAATGAATAAATAAATAACTGGAGTGGAAATAATTATAGACCATGTGGTTATAAGTACCAGTGTGGTTAAAGGTACACATGATATTAAATCAAATCTTGTCAACATTTTTAGTTTATCAGAATCAGAATGCTCCTTTGTTTAATAATCACTGGGAAAATATGACTTAAAATGAAGGACTATAATGCTGTTAATCCACATGAAAAATATGCATAATTCTTCTGAAAACAAAACACCTCAAAAGATTGGCTTTTTAGCATTTTAAAAGAGACATTTTCATGATATAGAGATTAACTATAGAATTGTTAGACAAGAACAGAAATTAAGCTACTTTAAGTCTTTAAAAGTGTATCTATAAAAATATCTGACTATATAATACCATGTCTTTTGAGTTTAAAATGTCATTTATTAAACATTTTCTACAGATTAGCATTGACACAAAAACTTACTTGAAATCAAAATAACATGGAAAATCAAAAAATAATCAATTTCATGAACATAAGCACAGCATTTTAAATGATTCTGGATAGCTTATTATAAGTTTCTACTCCAAATCATAACATTCCAATATTTTTATCTATATCATGCCTTTAATACTCAGTAATTTTAAAATTGTTATCTAATTAGTTTTACCTCAGTGATTTCAATAACAAGCCTATATATTATATTATATTCATCAAATTTTCTATATCCAGTTCGAAATAAATTCATTTTTCAATATTAGTATTGACATCCCAGATAGATGTTTAACCAGCATTCAAATTTTAAAATCAAAATGGCTTGCATTTTTATGGGTAAAGCAAAGATCACACCATCATGGTCCTATCCTTAATATTAAGCAATTTTGCTAACCTACAAGCCCACCAGAAAACTGTGATGAAAATGAGGACTAGGAACTTCTTAATTGTTGAACTCAAGACTTTCTCACTGAGTAAAACATCAACTCTCTAAGTAGAATAATGATACACATACTGGTATATTATCATTTAGTCCTTTTTCTATACAATATAACAGAAATTCATTTAAAAAATATCAAAATACTTACTTGAACCAACAAACACCAGCCATAATTAATCCAACAAGACCTGCTACACTACATGCAGCCACAATAACTAAAACAATACAAAAATATATGTACATTTTAATTCAAGTTTCTGATAAAAGTCTCAAAACACACACTAACAGGAAGAGAAATTTGATTAATGACATAGAATTAATCTTACATTCCTAAGATGTGATTTGAAGCTTAAAGTAGTCTTTGTTACAATTTGACAAAAGGCATTGTTTATAACACTTTCTGTTAAAAGACATAATAATGGAAATCTAAAAAAACGAACATTTAACAGTTTTTATTAACACATTTACTGTTGACTTTCATTTTGTAATTGTCAATTGTTTCTACTTACTGTATTTAAATGAACAAATAATTTATGTTTAAGATGAGTTTTTTTTAGTAACTGTATCAAAAGAATGGTACATTATTGTGATATTGGTATTTCTTATAGTTCTATAGCTTTGTTTAATGTCAGTCATCTTTATGATATAATAAACCAGTTTGTATAATATGTCAGTCAAGTTGATGTCATTTGACAGAACAGAACTCATTCTATGAGTGTTATTATAATCAATTTTACTAATCTACATAAAATATGTTCATCAAGCAGTAAATACTTACCAATAAATAACACACCGGAGAAGGGAGAAGCATTTTGGCCAACATCTCCTCCACCCTTAGATTGAACCTGAGGTTGAGCTTTACCAGGTACTGGTGCCGTCGTCGTCTTATTTTCTGTTTTTGGAGATTCTTTAGCACTATTTGGCTTGTCACTAATTGTACCAGTGTTAGTACCAGTACCTGTTCCAGAATCAGAACCAGTATCAGTTGAAGATGGTTCTATAACATCTTTTTTTATTTCTTCTATATTTGTATTACTTCTGCTTGCTACAAGAATGTTCATAAATAAATAAGTTAGATCAGAACTACATTGGATCAACAAGCTCAAAACCCTGGCTCCATTAGTTATCAATGAATTCATTTAGTTTACCGTCACTGCGAACAAGTTACCTTAATAACCTAAAGGGAGCTAACCACAGTCTACATACAAAAATTGTATTCAGACCACAATGATATCTTGTGTTCATAAAAGTCAAATATATAAGCTTATCATAGTTATATTCAGCCATTAGTTGACTTTCTATAATTTTGTATCACAACAAAACAGAATAATGGAAAAGGTTACAATGTTCATAAAAATATTTTGCCATTTTTGTGAATAATACTAATAATAATGCACTTTTCTTTTGACTGCTCCATACACCCATACGTTTTAATGACTGTATTAAAAATTCACTTATCATGGACTGAAGTATTTTACTTTCCTTTCCTAAAATTTGAAATAATTTTTGAGAAAAATAACCACTGATGGTTTCAATGTTCATAAAACTTGCTTCAAAAGAAGGAAGAATTTTAACATAATTTTGCAACTGGCTTTACGTTTATTTTTTATCTTTTTTTATGTACATTTTTTATCTTTTTTTATGTACGAGAATTGTCCATGTATGCAGTATAGAGAACTGAATATCATCAACTATCAAACTAAACATCTGTTCTCTACATGTCAATGAACTAGACAAACTGATCAATAAAACTACAGACCACAGTCTGATATTAACCAGTAATAATGTGATATATTTAACAGAGTGCAGTCATGCAGTTGAAACAATACATTCCACATAACACCTTCACTTGTGTATTAATACACATAACTGTATTAATGCGCTGCATAGTAACGCATGCAAATTCTTCCTTGGTTTGAGCAAAAGAAGTAGTAATTTGGCAGCAATGGGGGACATGGGATGGCTGAAGGGTGATAATTTAGTTAAGATTGAATTGTTTAGATATTGGAATAGACTTAAACTCAACGATAATATTCTTTGTAAAACTGTACATAAATGGGCCAGTAGACGTAAGTCTTCCTGGGATCACCGAGTATTAAGTATCGGTCAAGAACTACATGTATTAAATGATCAAAGTGACACTGTATGTATTGATGATGTGTGGGATAGTCTATGGGAAAGGGAAGTGGGTCAGTGGTCAAGGGATGTATGGAATGACCGCACACATGTTAATGGAAACAAACTCCGGTCATACCGCATGTACAAAACTGAATTCGGAACAGAACCGTATGTCAAAATTATTAAAAATAGAGCTCACAGACGCGTGTTGTCCAAACTTAGAGCGGGTTCACTCCCTTTGAGAATTGAAACTGGAAGATTTGTTAGACCCCCCGAACCTCTCTGCTTAAGGAAGTGTCTTTTATGTGATAATGGGGAAATTGAAAATGAGGAGCATTTTATTTTTAACTGTAAATTATACACTGATATAAGAAATGTTTTATGTACCGAAGCCTGTTTTATTAATCCAGATTTTTTATTTTATAATAATGTAAATAAATTGTGTTTTTTAATGACAAACGAACGAATTTACCATATTTTGCCGCATGTATTTTTAAAATGTTTGAACGTAGGAAACAGACTGTGATACCCTGAGCCTTTTTATTTATCATAATGTTTATTTTACTTGTATATTTGTGTTTTACCTGTCTCATTGAATGTAGTTTTATGATATAATTCTAAGGTGTCTCATAAGTCGAAGCCGGCTGGCGTCCATTTTATAATGCTGTAATTATTTTATTGTTGTTATTCTCTGTATATATGGACGGTGACACTTAAATAAATAAATTATTATTATTATTATTATTATAATAGTTAGGGTTGAATGAAATATATCTGATCCTTACCTTCATCTATAAGTCTTTGTAGTGTTAGATCTCCTAGAACCTCTCCTGAAAACATACAAAGTAATAATTTATAGTTAAACCATGCAGTTATACCAGGTATTATATTGCTGAAAGTCATGGCTCAAAAAGGATATGAACAACAGATAACCACTTGAAGATACCTATGTCTATAGATGAATTCTATATCATTATAATGTGGGCATAAAATTTTAATATATAGATGGCCAAAATCAGAACTAATTTATGATATGGGATGAAAATAGCTCTGCATTTGTCAACAAATAATCCAAAATACAGAAAATGAGAAAAATTCACAGATTTTTTTCAACTGCTAAAAATATAATAACATTTTTGCCGTCGATCCACTAGATCTAATAAAAAAAACAGCTTGATTATTTCTGTATAATCAGAATATATGAGAAATAGAATGATTTTGTTCAAGTTAATTACTGATAAATAAAACTAATTTGTTCAAATAATCTAAATGATAAGAAAACAAAGAAGACTAATCATAGATTTAACTTGACAAATATCATGATTTATAATTATGTGTTTTAAGCTTTACACCTACATTTATACTAAATGTACTTCAACCTTAAAATACAAATCATTTTCATTTTAAACATAATATTGCAGTCTGACCTATCAT